CTGAACCCAGCGTGTAACACAGGTTCAAGCGCTTTGCTGCAGTAGATGGGGAGGGTACAACATCATTGCGGGTGGTTCAACCCACTGGAAGCTCCCCTGGTGCAGCAAATCCTCCCCACTCCCCTTCCCAGGGCTGTGTGGTTTGCGATGCCCTAGGCAAGGGCTCCCCATTTCGCTGCGGTGGCAGGCATATCTCATTGTTGGGTGCCATCCATGTGCAAAATGAACAGGATAATGCCTGCAGAACTGAAGCAGAAGGACTTCAGGGTCTCTAGGAGTGCTCACAGGGATGGCAAAGCCTCCCCTCCGACATCTGCGTGTGGCTCCCAGAGCTGCGGGCACACAGAAGAGGGCAGGGTTTGCCCATGCTTCCCAAACTGATGTACGATTCTCCTGAATCCAAGGTCTCTTCTGCAAGCGTAAGTAATCACTGGCCACTGTAGTGGAGCACAGGGTAATAAGCTGCATAATTCTTTGGTTTAATACTGCATATTGTGGTTTACCAAGGGAAGAGGCTGACAACCGTAGAGCTCTTGCCTGTGATCAATGCTAATATTTTCCTCCCCCTCTCCTTTTATTTTTCTTTAGCACCAGTACCATTCAAAAATAGATGAACTAATTGAGGAAACCGTCAAAGAAATGATAACACTCCTAGTGGCAAAGGTAACCTTCGGCTTCAGGTGAAATGATTCACTGTTAACATTGCGTTTTTAATATGTGCATTTCCATTAAAATGTGACACATTAAGATGTTGAATTGGCTTCTTGTTTCTCACAGGCAAGATCATACATCTCCCAGTCCTTTCATGGTGACTCTTTGATGATTAGGAACTGCGTGAGATGTAATACACTGCTAGCAGGATTGCCATACTGGGCCAGAAGTGGTTTTAAGGAATGGGTGTCATGTTAATGGGGTAACACCCCGTGGTCAGCATCACCCCACGGCACTGAGGGTAGCTGCAGTCAGGGGGTGGCACTGCTAAATGCTGCTGCGTAAACGTTGGGGTGGCAGGCAGAGGTGGTCACCACTCCTACACGTAAGGTTGTGTGGACAAAATAACTTGTCTTGTTCGAGATTGCCATATGGTCTTCTAAGGAATTAATTTAGAGGTGACAGTAGTGGGAAATACATTCCAAAATGTCAGGTTTAATTGTTTGGAAATTGTTTTTCATCAGAGTCGGCTTCTCTAGCTCAGCTGCCAGCATTTCCCTTGGGTTGTTGTGTAGGTCTGGTGTGCTGCGCTAACACAGAGGGGAATTGGTACGTAGGGAGAAAGATGGTGGGGTGTGTTTTCCTCTGGTTTCAAACTTTGTGAGAACAAGTCATCCCTATTATACAGTGGAGACCTTTAAACATAATCCGCCAACATATGCCAGTTTGATTCTTCTGCAAGAATACCCAGCTAGCTGCGTGCTTGACACTGCATACTGGGAGCAAGAACCACCAGCTTCCCCGTCCGGAGAGGCTGTGCTAGCTTCCCTGCGTGCTGCACCCACCCCCTGTTCCCAGCATCACCCGTGGCACCGAGGGGTGATTCCCACCCAGCGAGAGGTGGACCACGTAGCACCCAAAAGGCGATGCTCCTTTCTCCCCACTCCCCAGCGCGCTGTGACTGGGGACAGGTTACCCGTTCCTTTGGCAATGTGGAGAGCTCCACTGACTTTAGGACGTGAGGAAATGGTCTCAAGTTGCGCCAGGGGAGGTTCAGGCTGGACATTAGAAAGAACTTCTTCACTGTTAGAATTGTTAGGCATTGGAACGGGCTCCCCAGGGAGGTGGTGGAGTCACCATCCCTGGAGGTGTTCAAAAAACGTTTAGATGTGGTACTTCAAGACATGGTTTAGTGGACATGGTGGCATCATGATCTTTGAGGTCTCTTCCAACCATAATGATTCTATGACTTCTTTGAAGCCAATGCTGATTTTTACACCCTTGTTCAATTATTAAAAATAATTGCAGTATTTTTTGTCTTCATAGTTTGTCACCATTTTGGAAGGAGTCTTGGCCAAACTGTCTAGATACGATGAAGGAACTTTGTTTTCTTCTTTCCTGTCATTTACTGTAAGTACAGACTATAGTTTCCTTTCTTCTTTTTATTTTTTTTTCCTGAGTTGTAATCTCCTGCTCTCCCAGGACTAGATCAGCTACATAATAATTCTGACATTCTGTGATGTTTGAACACTGTAACCCCCACATGAATAGACAAACAACCTGTATGCAGATATACAGTACATAAACACCCAAGATGTATAGATCATTGTATTGTAGCACAGAGTAAAGCCAGCTCCAGTCATCATTCAGGTTGGTGGAGTTTATTCTGTTAAGGATGCATATGAAGATGAAAAAAATCATTGCACTGTACATGCAATTTCCCTAACTAAAGATGTTGCTTCGTTGCCGCCTTGCATGATGGGTGTGTTCGTCTCAGTCTTCTGGCCATAGCAGTGACATTCTTAAGTAGTAAAACAGAAAATGAGAGATCTAGGGAGTGCCTTTGTGTTTCTAAAAGAGAACAAGGTTGGGGAAACGCCATGAGGTTACGCAGCACAAGGTGCCTCTAATGCCACATTTCTCCCTAACATTGCAGAACCAACCCACAACTCGTCACATTATGTATTTCCTAGAAAGGTACAGGACAAGAACAATATCCGCACAAAATTGGCCTCAGTATCCAGCCAGGGTTTAGCTATCTGAACTGTATTGCAGAAAAGTGTTGTGACAGCTTCTTAGGACAAACACATAGCAGTTGATTTCCAAAGGTCTTCTGAAAATGCAAGCCAGAAAGTTTACAAGAGTGCCTCTCTGCAAGCGTGGCTTCTCTTGTCTCAACTCACAGACAGATGTGCACCCAAATGCATGGGGTTGCTTGGAAAGTTGCATGAACATTTTCACCCACCGTCCCCACTGCCTGCATGTGCAGCCTGTCCTGCACTCGCTTGTTCACAGAGCCTGGGCAGGAGGCAGAAGGCACTGCTCTGCAAACTGGGAAGGCTGTCCAAAAGCTCCTTCATGAGTTGTCTTAGCTACTTGCAGTTGTCTGTTGTTTGCTACTCTTGGTCCTTTTTGCTGAGTTTGAGGCAGTTTTATAGGAACCATTTGGAAACGGAGATGGATGTAGGAAGGCTTACCAGTGGAGGCAAGAAATTCTGCTCACAGACAGCTGTGCGCACACAGGGTCTGGCAGCTTAGCTAAACCACCACAGGGTTCAAACTAAGCATCCTGACTTTTCAGGTGTGCTGGAGGCACTTTGTTCTTCAGAGAAGGGGGGGAAGGGAGGGTGTCCCGCTCACTGCCCCGCAGTGCAACTCTTCTCCCAGGATAACCCCTGCATGATTATAGCCCCGGGGCTGTGCTCGGCCCTGCTCAGTCAGATGCGGGGGATGGCATGGGGTAGGTACCTTCCCTTCTTCCAGTGCTGCAGAGGGTTAGGAGATGCTCACGTGCCAGCAGCAGAGGATGTGGAGGCGGCAGCTTTCCAGGCATCGGAAGTACCAGCATCAGCCCGGGTAGACAGTATAATGTGCAGCCCTTCCTTCTCAGTGATTCCAAGCTGTTCCTCGGTTGATGTTGTGCTGCTCCCACCACATCCTACTGTTTACACTGCCGAGTGCTGCTCCCTTCAGTGGCTGAGCAAACCCCTGAGCCGTGCTTGGGCTCAGAGTGCCCGTGAAGAGACAGCACGTAGGTGCATGGGGTTCAAGCATCCTCACTCTGCTGCTCCTTGCACGCTTACTGACAATTAACTGCCCCAGCAGCAACAAAATGGTCTGTCCCACTCTGACAGCCCCACAGCCTTGAACCTGGTCCCATAGCTTCATTTTCCTGAGTTTCCAGCCGGGAAGAGATGTGCAACCAAATAGTTACTGTACGTAGCGTGTGCACGTCCCCCAGAAGGTGCTGAGCCGTCACCTCCAGCAAGGAGGCTGGGTGCACTGCAGAGGAGCAGGTTTGCTCCTTTTCGGGCAAGGGACATCTCTCGCTTTGGCCCGCTTGTTTGCTGGGAGCCACTGAGCAGCAGCAGCTGCAAGAAGAGGCTGAGGAACAGCCCCAACCCCTTTGGCACTGGGCTTCGACAATCTCCCTTCCCTGCAGTAGTAATGTGATTTGCTGTGTTTAGTCTTTGCAATGATAAATAGAGAAACTCTCTCTTGTTACAGCATGCTTGCACCACCTCCCACGTTTTCCCTGTCTGAACAAATACAACAAAGTGTGATGGTCCAAGCCGCTGAGCTCTAGAAAGCATTAGTCTCCCACCCCCTTCCACCGACTTCTTTCATCGCATGTTTTCCAGGCGCTCTGCAAGTGACATGTAATCGGGGGTCTTGTGACAGACAGTTTTATCACCTAGTAGGATATCCTCATTTCCAATTCTTGCCTCGAAATTCAAGATAAAATTAATGCATCTGTTGTCCTAATAAATTCTCACTAGCCACTTCTCCTTGCAGAGCACTTTGAGAGGAAAACACCCTTCTAAATTTGGCCAGACTCTTTTATTTTTTTTTTTCTGTTTGTTGCTACATTTAAGTGCATCTCGGCAGCAGCAGCCCAGGCCCTGGCTGGGCGTCTGCATGTGCAGATCCACTGAGTCACAGGAATGACAGCTGCTAAAATTCCCTTTAATCTGGATGACCTCTGTAGGCGGAGAATTACACCTACAGTAATTAAAGCTAAAGACTGCATATTACCGGAGGGAGACAGAAGTAAAAGATCTTATTTTTGTTCTACGCAAAATTTGTATGGTAAACTGAGATGTTTCATGGCAAAGTCACATACTTTGTGAAAAATGGCAGCCTAGCAAAAATCACACAACATCCGGCAGTTTGGAAATTTCACTAAATGTAGCCAAATCTGAGTTTAAAGAAAAACAAGTAATTATTCTGATTAAAGAGGAGTGGGCAGGAGAAGAAGCTCAGGGTTTTTTTTTTTTGGGGGGGGAGTTGCAGGAAGCCAGCTGAGTTATTCTTGTCGCCGCTTGGCTTTGGAGAAGAAGGTAGTTTGAGACAGTGGCGCTAAGCTGGACCTAAGACTGCTAAACCCACGCTCAGATTGCAGCTTTCCTGGGCTGTCACTGCATTACTTTGTGCCCTGTGTGATATTTGAAGATACAGGTGCACAGCGCAGGGCAGCCCTGAGCACGGACCTCGGCTTGAATTCTGCAGGCTGTCGAACCGCATCGTTTCTAAGCTTTGCTCCTGGTTGTTTAGCTTTGCTGCTCAGCAAAAGAGCTCGCTTGGAGCTAGCTTGGGCTGCTCCACGCCGGTGTGGGTATGCGGTGACTGCCTGCTCCTCCGGAGCTGCAGCCGTTGGCCAGGCTCCAGCTGCCTTCACGCACGGAGGCTGGGACTCCTCCGCTCCCCTTGGGCAGGAGCAAGGGATAACGCTTCGCTACCTCCCAAGAAAGTTGTGAGGATAAATGCAGTGAAAAGGCAAGGTGTCCAGACAGCCGGCAGGATACCCAGAGGAGAGACAAGCATTTGCTCTTCACTGGGAGTGAGGGCTTGGCACTGATTTTGCTGTCTCTTTCATAAACTCATCTGCTGGGACGTGCCCCGTCCCTTTCCAGCCCCTCCGACAGCCAGACCCCGGGTCGCATTGTGGTGGCAGGCGCTCGGTGCCCTCCTCCTGCCTTTCCCTCTGTTCTTGCCCCCCGGCTCGGCAGCCCAGGCGCTGCCAATACTTGCAGCGTTCACCTCGGCAATTACCACCAGTCTGGTCTTTTGTATCGCCTCATTGTGCTTAATTATGCACCCCCCACACACACCATATGAGTGCTTCCACCCACTCTCACATTCTGTCTCACACATACATTCATTCTCTCATTCGGGACACATAATTTATTCATCCCAAGATGCAACTGTGTGCGTGTTATATTTAGGCTGTTTTAATGGTAGCTTTAGAAATATTTAAAAGCAGGTGAGCTTTTACACCCAAACAAAGATGGCCGGCAACGCTTACCCTAATTAAAAGCAGAAGCGTTGTGGAAAATCCCAGCCGTACTCTTTCTAGACATGGCGCCTTATGCTACAGTGGGAAAAAGGTCTCTCTGGCCAGCTGGGCACTGCTCAGTTGGAAAAGTTGGCCCTGACATTGGGGGACCGCCCCGCCTCCCGTGCCAGGCAATGTGCACCCTGTTGCCTGGCAAACCAGAGACAAAGTAAATTTGGGGTCTTGCAGCCCCCGCTGGCTTGTGAGGACACCACAGAGTGCAGCGTCCACCCTCTGATACCCTCCCTTAAATAACATCTTTTAAAATGGGGGAAAAATCACAGGAAACTATGGGGCACTTCTCTGTTGCATGGCATTGAGCACGCTGCCCTAACATGGTCTGCGAGCTCCTGCCAGCCTCAGAGCCAGCAAAAAGGGGGAAAATAATGTCCAAGGCTGCAGCTTGCAAAGCTGGGGGAAGCACGCTGCAAGCAGGACTATGGGCAGGGGACAAAATTCAGGTCCTTCGGGTGCTTTCTTGTGGCCGCCTTGGTGCAGGTGCCTGCCAGCCTCTCCATGCCATCGTGGCCCCGCTGCCCGGGGAGCTCCCGCAGTCCCTGGGATGCAGTTCCTGGCAGGAGAGACGCACGCTGCCTTTGGAGACACGTGGCATCGGGCGGAGAGCGAGGCCTCTGAAGAAAATAACCATGTCTACTTACGAACCCCATCTTCCCCCGCTCGCTGAAGTAGAGGGAGAAGCACAACTCCCACACTATCATCTGTTGCTATTAGAGCTTTAGCAGCAGCAAAGTTACCTCTCAAAAAAAACAACAACAAAAATACCGCCCTTGCCTATTCTTTTAGACAGGAAATGTAGTTTTTATCACCCTTTTTCCCCCCACTCAGCATCATGTTGTCCCAGGTCTTGGCTGAAGAAGGTCTTACAAGTGTTTAAAGAAAAAGCAAAGACCTGAAAACGTACTGATGGTGTAAACTCTCTTCTTGTTCCTTTTACAGGTGAAGGCTGCTTCCAAATACGTGGATGTACCCGTAAGCACAATTTAAACAACTTCTGTCATAGTAATTTGCATCGTGCTTTGGTTTATGGCATGTGTAGCAACCCACGTTATGCATTAACAGCCAAGATTGAACCATGGGCCTTCACACTTCTAACATTTGAACTGGAAAGAATATCTCTATGACATTAATAATGAGCAGTTACCCTCTTATGGAGACCTATAAGGCTGTTTAGGCAATAATTTGCAGATGGTGTCAAAAAGGTACCATATTTATGCAATTGGCTTGAATCACATTTGAAAAAAAATGGGAGCAGTGCATTCTGTTAATTCTTCATTTGGACTTGTACAAATACAGTATAATTTCCAAACAAAAAGGTCCAGACATGTTAGAACTGAGCCAACACACATCTAACACATTAGCTAATCTATTTTATTTTTGTTCTTCTAATTGTTGGTTTATTTTACTCTTTTGGAAAATGACTTTTTTATTACTTTGGGGAAATGGTGATGAGCTAGCAACATGTGTTTGGGAAATTGTTAATGAAAATAATTTTTTCCATTTTTCTGTAATTGGTATAGGAAAACTGTACATCGTCTCCTCTAATTAGACCTTGATTCATAAGGAGAAGAGCCCTTAACGTTCTTAGACAGAGCACTTAACTTGCCAGAAATTTACATTTAAATTGAGTTGAAGTGTAATACATGGATATTGGCTGGAATAAGGGGTTACTGTAACATTTACAGGCAGAAAGATCCTGAGCAATTACAAATGAAAGAAGAGTAGATCTTAATGTACCACACCAGTTCCTGCATCCAGTTAGACTGGACAGTGTAAATCAAGAATAACTCAGTTGAGTTTGATGACCTGTATGTTTAATGTATATATGTACATTTAATGTGGATGCGGTTGCTCTACATGCTCTCACATGACAACGTGATAAATTTATCAGACATCTTGGACTGCGTCATCTGCATTCGGTGTTTCCATCCCTTTAGCCCAAGATAAACCTTGCCTATCAAGTTACGGTATCTTGAACCCAGCATGGAAAAGACAAACTGTTGAACAGTAAGAGTTTGGTTTAAAATAACCCAATGCAGAGATTGCCATCCTGTTGTCTTGGAGTAATAGAAACAAGAGCATTAAGAAGAGAGACTCAGAATTCATTTCTAGCCCTAAAAATGTGGAGATCCTTCAGTTGAAATTCTTAGTTGTTTGAGCGCATCTTAAATATTTAGTCATCAGGAATTTGGGCATAGAACAGTTACTTTAAGTAAATCCCAGGGCAAAGTGTGGCCTTCTCTGAGGCCTCTTTATTCCTGGAAAGTAAAGCATCTCCAGGGAAGTGGTCTCAGTAAAATGCTATATAACTCTTCCAAGCTTTTCCAAAAGCATTGTACCTGGGACACCCTTGGGACGTCCGCAGCAGGAGGAGCAGGGTCTGCTCCCATCCTCGGAGCCACTCAGGCCCTCTGTTCTTTGTGTGAAATACAGCAGAAATCATTCATCTGGGTTATTTTTTGGTTGTTTCCCCACCTCTCCCTGGAAATGAAGCCACGTTACAACAGCTTCCTTAACAGCCTCAACATTTTTAATGAAGGCAACCACCAGCCCCGCACAGGTCGCAGACCTTTGCAAGAGGCCACCCCATGGTCCGTGGGCCACTGCCTTTCCAGGGGAAGGAGAAGATAAAACCTGTTTGACTAGAAGACAGAGGGAAAATCATGGTGTTGAACAGGAAACCGTTGGTCAAATCTAATTCTGCAAACACGGTTGCAATTGTCTGGGTACAAACCAATCCGTTTAATGCCACCTTGAAATGGGCACGATCAGCGTACTGAAAATTGCTTGAAAGTGTAACACTTGACTACTGCCACATTTGTGTTGTCCTCATTGTTTTTCAAATTAATACCTTGTCATTGTTGCAGTAGGTGTTAAGAAATGTTACTGGCTTCCCGAGGGCCAAGCACTGGCCCTTTGCTTGATAATTGTTCTCTTTGTATTAAAAAACTCCTTTCCTACTGCTTTCCAAACTGTCCTCATTTTCACCCTGGAAATTACACAGATGTGTTAACTAACTTCAATTTACAGCGGCTGACAATCGTATCTTGCAGAGAAACGATACTCTGTGATCTGAGGTAAATCACAGTAATGGAAACTAATGACACTAGTTATTAACAAACTTACAATGTGCCATGGAAATTTAAGATTTTGTGGCAGTTCTTGTAATGACTCGTGTTACAGTATTTTAATGGGTTTCCTTTGAGGTAAGTTTGATTGCGATATACCAGGCAATGTGAACTCAAACAGGATTTTTTTTTTTAAAGTATTTTCCCATCCACCTGCTTCAGGTTCCATTTTCTTTAAAGAAATGCTGTTATCTCCAAAATCTTGCACACTTGTAGGTTACTCTTTAAAATCAGTTAAATTCTACAGAGAACTGTAGAGACGTGACAGCACAGGCAGGCTTCCTGCAGTTTAGCAGTGGCTTAAACATTCATGTAGACATACATTACCTGAGTTACCATTTACCCAATTTACTCTTAAGAGCAGCACTAAATGTGAGCTAAAGTCAGGGGTCTAAACACAAAAAGAAAGGTGATTTTGGGATGCCTTCTGCAATGCCAGCTGCTTACTGCAGGCATCCTCACACCGCAGAAGAAGAACCAGCTCTGGCTGTTAGCTTGCTACGTTCAGAAAACAGGGAGCTTGCATAGAGAAGATGACTCAAGAATACAACAAATCCCCAGCCCAGCTTGATGGTTCATTCATTAGGTCAACAGCACCAAAAGTAGCAAGGCAACTTCCTGGCATCAGTACGTCGAGGAAGAGCTTTATTACTCTGACAGGCTTCACTCTAGGCAAAAGGAGAGAAAGAGCAAGTGTCTTTGCATGACCTTGTGATGCACACAGTATTTTGCTGGGCACGGGGCACAAAGCAGCGGGACTTGGTGTCCATCAGGTAAGGAAAGGGCGAACTGGAGGAGGGCAGCAGGAGATGGAAGAGAAGGAAAAGCAGCGACGAGGCTACACAGAGGACTTGCCCCCTGCGCCGCTATTCATGGTTTTCTCTCTCTCTCTCTCTCTCTCTCTCTTTTTTTTTTCTTCTCTCCTCCATGCAGAAGCCAGGGATGGATGTTGCTGATGCCTATGTGACATTTGTCCGCCACTCTCAGGATGTCCTGCGTGATAAGGTCAATGAGGAGATGTATATAGAAAGGTTATTTGATGTAAGTAAATGCCTTCTCCTCCTTGGACACCAAGCAGGAGAGACCCAAAATGTGACAAAATAAGACAGGAGGATAAGTCACATTTTGAGAAAATTTATTGGTTATAGCTTTAAAAAATAAATAAATCTTTCCTTTCTTTCTGACTAAGGCTCGTATCTGCTCTCTGCCTGCTTTAAATCTCTAGTCTACTGTGTCTTGGTCTGTCTGTGCGTGGATTTTAAGGGAACAGCATCTTCTAAGAGAGCCCTTTACTATGTTTAAGCTTGTGGAAAAACTCTCTGTAACAGAACATCTTGGTCATTGTTCTCACTGTTAAAATTTGAGCTGGGTTTTTGGCACATGCGTTTGCTAAGGGCCATCTCTTCTGCACATTTTGCAGTGTGTTTCATTGACAGGCACTCCAAAACTGACAGCAAATTAAGTGTACTAAATTTTAATTTTATAAGCTAACCAAACCAGAGCTGATTAGGAATGGACTTACGTCTTTCAGGAGGACCATGTCGTGGTGTCTGACACCAAAGGTAAAGTTGAGACATGGTCTCCTTGGTGAAGATGGCGTGGTAGGAACTGACCCAGATGTTCAGAGCTATTTTTCTGTTGCACAAGATAAATTCATTGGACTGTAAGAGAACAGTGACCTGTGATGCCCATTTGTTTTGGATTTGGATGCATGTTAACTGGTATCTCTGTTTCTGTTGCTCTTGTTGCGTTACAGCCTTTCTGTCCTCGTAGCTGTTCTATAGCGAAGGTTTTCTGTTGACAGCCAGCCTGTAGCATTAGTGTTTCAGTCTCCTTTAGGGTATTTGTCCATATATCAATTTCTGTTTGAAGCAGCTTCTGTTCCTACTTTCCTTCCTCTCATCTTTCAGCAGTGCCATTTCTCAGTCTCCCAGCTCTGGAACTGTAACAACCTTCCTCGCTTTCTTTACTTGCTCATTTGCTTCCTCGGTGTGCAGGGAAAGCTGCTTTTTTTCCCAATCAACCTCCTCCTTCACTCGATACCTCTCTTTCTGCGCATTACCTGTCCCTTAGAAACCTCTTCCTCCTTTACAATTCCCACTCTTTCTTTCCCCCGTACCTTATCGGATTAAAATGGAACTTATCTCTCATGTCAAATGTTTTATCACATTATATCAAGTGGCATGAATTAGAGTCAAATAATCTTACTGTGTACATCTACTAGCATGACCCATATCCACTGAGAATGCCTCATTCATGCACGGAGCACATCAGTGCCTCCTCCGGGCGCCGTGCGTGCTCGCTCCGGGGAGAGTTTGCAGCGCAGAGCACCAGACGCAAATCACCCATCAAGCAGGCACGGGGAGAAAAAACAAAACATAAAACAAAAGACTGTCGCTTCCATCTGCAGCGGGCCTGCGAGTGCATTGCTCGTTTGTGTTGAAATTTATTCCATGAGCAGTTAAATTTCCAGAGCTCATCTGGACTGTTCTTTTCAATGCCCACACTGTCTTTTCCCTCATCCTTTCCCTATGATTCACAGTTGGTGTGTTTGTACCCTTTGGGCCTTTATTTCCAATTTTCAAAAGGCTGTAATTAGCACAAATATTGATTTCAGTTTGATCCACTCGTACTTAGTTTTACCAAACCATATTTTAAACAAATTAACAGTTGACATGAAAAAAAAAAAAGAGCAGCTACCTTGGTGGAAAGCAAAAAGTGCAAAACCTTTCTTTCCCCCCCTGCTTCCCTCAAGTCCCCCTGGTCCATGCAGGATAAAATAATCAATAGGGTTTTTACACTGCTCTGCCTGTTTTGACCCACGTTGGCTGCAGGCGGGAGCCACAGCGTGTGGGAGCTCTTCCCGTTCCCATTCCCATTCCTGTTCCCTGCTCCATCAGGGCGGCGTTGGGACCTGATGCTGCTGGCATCTTCGCACGTTGTCTTGTGTACGTGAGTGTGCGCCCGTGAGCGGGGCGAGCTGCGGGGCCCTTGGTTCGCAAGGCGGGAGGGGGATGCGCCGAGCCCTAGCCACCCAAAAACTGGAATTATGTTTTGAGCAGTCGTGTATCGTCTCTGCCAGGTTGCAGCTGAAGGAGCTGGTTTCTCCTGAGGTCAGCTCTCAGCATAGCTGAGGTGCTGCTGGTGGGTCAGTAGCAGCAAGGTTTATGAGTATGTGGGGGTCACCTGGGCCCAGACCCCATTTAAATTGGTGCTGTGTTCACCTACGTTTCGGTAAGGACAGGAGTGAAAGCTTCACTCCATTGTCCGGAGCTCAGCCACGGCCCTGCAGCCCTTTGCCTCCCTCACCTAACGCAGCCAAGCAGCATGGCCATGGGGTCTTTAAGCTCCTTTGGTCTCTGCACTGACGGTTGTATTTTCCAAGGACATTTTAGGTGCTAGCTACCTTTTTAATAAGAAAGAGAAGAGGAATAATCAAAATTGGTATTTATGATGCTGCATTAGACTTGGACCTGATTTTGTTCTCGCTTCCCCCAGTGTGGCAGAGGAGCAATCCTCTTAGCTGCAGAGTTTCTCCAGGCAATGAGATTATTAACACTTTCGAGGCTGGTTCCTCTGCTGGCTTAGTGCAGCCATGCTGCCTTACCCCAACCAAAAGCTTAGTCCAGTTTTAGGGTGTTATGCGGTAATGCGTGCAGCAGTGGCAGGTAAACAGCTGAGATCTGCCTGCAGGCATGTTCTCTGCTCTCAGTGGGATCGCGTTAGAGACACTCGCAATATAGGGCTAAATCTCCTTTCTGTGCAGTCGTCAGTAGTGCAAGAGCAGAGGTGCACAGTGCACGGTTGCCTATCACACGTTCGGTGGGATTTGCAGCTCCTGGGATATTCCTAATTCCCACATTTCTCCACAGTCCTGCCCAGCGTTTTTATTCATTTCTCCTTTGTTTGCTCCCAGGAGCAGAGGCTGGAGGGTGCATTAGGCCATCTTACAACAGAAGCGGGGTTAATATGTCCTTTTTTGGCATTTGCCGTGATTTCTTAGCTCAGAAGCCATCTCTCTTCCCCTGCATGGCGTGCCCTGCTCACACCTGCAGAACAGGGCTGTGCTTTTTGGGAGATGCTGGTGTTTGCAGAAGATTGTTGTAATATTTCTGTGTGGTCTGCGTGTTACTCCTCTTAGTTCTGCAAATTAGTCAGTTTTGTTGGTTCCCCCCCCCTCCCCCCCGAAATGGAGTCATCTTAATTTTAAAAATCTGTCTTCTTGGGATCAATGAACGAACAGATTGATCGTGGAGTTCTGCTGGTAATCAAAACCTAACTAGCTTTTTGGCAGTGCTGTTTACTGCAGAGTAACATGACTTATTTACTTGGCCTGGCTCACTAATTTGATAACATTTAAAGCTAAAACACTGTAATAAGGCCCATTGGTAGAGAGCAGTGGTAACAGAAGAGTTTCAGAATAGCATCGTAGCATCCGTTCCTTGCGTTCCTGTGCATGGCTGGGTGCTTTGGGATTTAAACTGCTGTGGTACTTTGCATGCAACACAGGATTGCAAACTCCATGTAGTGCCTGATAGAAAGTAAAATTTTGTCACTTTTTCCCCAGAAAGGGGGGAGAGTTGACATGCAGAATGTGACTGTTTAGAGGAACAATGAGGCAGAGGCAGGCGGGTGTATCTTAAACATGGGAAAATATCTTCAGAGTGGTCTTGAGTCTTCAGCCTAATCCTGCAAAATTCAGGTACCTTTGGCTCGGGACACTCAGAATTTCCTAGGATCAGAGTTTATACATCCGTAATTTTGTCTGAAAGCAGTGGGAGTTTTACTTGTAAGGGTTGTGCCCTTTGGTGGAAGTTATTTATACATGTGTGTACGTGTGTGTATCTTTACACTCACCCTTAGAGCCTCACAGTATAGGTTTCAACCCATCAGAACATATGTAATCCGGGAAGTCTATGACTGACTAGTAGATAGTGTGAATGCCAGCCTTTCTTCCTCATAAATTGGTAAACACTAATGTAAAACATAGCGAGAATTTTTCCTCCCCAGCCGCGGGCGAGTAGCATGTACACAAAAGGCTACTGAACGTCGAGTGAGCTCCCTGAGATCCTGCGAATTCCAGCATCCTGATGCAGTCTCTAAATAGCGCAGATGGCATTTTTCTCTCTGATGATTAATTCAATATCTTACCGAAAAAAACAAAAACATGCTTTTGATATGAGAGATCAAAACACCAAGAGAAGCTCCTAAGATTGCAAGGACCTAAAAAAAATTAATTTATTTTTTTCCTCCTTGTACTTCTTGAAGACACCAGCCTGAGTAGAAGATAAGGATTAAAACAGATGTGCTTAGTGCTAGTTCATCTGCTTAAATCTAGCAGTCTTTGAGATCAGTGATTAAAAAGCCATCTCTAACTTTGATGAAATCCACTGCAATGGTAATACTGTGTCTCTGATCGCTTTCTTATGGGCCTCATGTCTGCCTAAACCGGACATAGAAAACATTTCACTGGAGATGATACATGGATTATATGGGTCAATTATACACTTAATCTGCCTTCTGAGGATTAAATGTGCATAGATTGACCCTGCGTATTTGGCTTGTCCTTGGCAGTTATCAGATCAGGAAGGTTGCCTTTACCAAAAAGTCTGGTAAGAACTTAATCACGCAGTGATACAGCCCGCTGAGGCGATGGTAGTCACGGTGCTTTTTGCAGAAGGCAGTTTTACCACTTCACTGTCACTGTGTATGTTCGGCTTCCTCGAAGGTCTGTGTCACAGCCGGGATACCAGACGGAGTATTTTCTCCTGAAACGAGAAAGCAAGCCCATTCGTCTCTGCAAGACGGAGGCGGGTTTGTTTTTTTTGGTCTTGATGGCAGGGTGGGATGGATGGGGTCTGGGCAGGCGTAGCGGGGGTCGTTGGGAGAGACCGGGGGTTTGTTCTGCCCTTTGCCAGCCTCAGTGCAGAAGGACAGTCACTCCAGGTCCTCTCCCAGCAGCAAAGGAGAAGCCATGGCCCAACTGTTAGAGGAGCCAGCGTCTCCCTCCCACCGCCTTTGGGGAGGCACAAGCCCTTGGC